CCATTTTTCAGTTGATTGTCTACATTGTATTGATCTTTAACGATATAAAGATCTTGTGATTGGATTTTAACAATTTTGGTCTTGTTAGAATTGTCTCATTGAGACGAACATTTTGATAGTTAAATCATCCCAAACGGACCAGTATATCAAAAGTTATTCAACATTAAAAGCATTTACATAGTAATTCTAAAAAGTACAATTAAAATCGCACAAAAGTTAAGCGATCTTAGGATCCTGTGATTGAATTTTATCATCCAAAACGGACCAGTAGATCAAGAGATATCAGCAATTCTTTGAATCAGCCCATATGATAACAGCCAAATAAATTTCTTTGGCCGAAGAAATTACCATCACTGATATCACGGATGCCATTTTTGTATAGCACATAATGGTACGTACGTATAACAGATATATTTATTATACCGTATAATTCCCATTCCTAATCGAGCTTCTATTTAGGTGTTTTACATCTTTTTTTCAATATCGATATCAAAAATAAAGGCTTTGCAATTGATGTGTAAATTCAACAAAAGTAAATTACATCGGTGTTTATGCAAGTATGCATATCTGATATTAATAATATATCTGATATTTAATTCAATGAAATAAAATTTATCTGCGTTATGCAACTTATTTAATGGAATTTTGTAGTTTGTCATTCACTAGCATCTAGCATTAAAATTAATTTTGGTGAATTTTGTAGTTTGTCATTCATTAGCATTAAAATTAATTTTGGTGAAATTTGATCAAATAAAACTGAGAACAATCTAAGCGTAAATGTTTTTTCTTAGTTTATACAGTTTATTTTATTAATTAATTATAGTAATTCAAAAATTAGATTCAAAGAACAGTCATATGAAAAAAGTTATTCAAATATCCAAATTGATTACTCTTTCGTATTTCATTCCATTATCAGTATTGATTGCAGTGATCTGAATTTCCACCATACCAAATTTCATAACGTAGAGGATTGGACGCTTCTCAACACCGTTAATAGGTACTTTAATATTGAATTGATCAAGTAAATTTACACCTGGGCTATCGCAATACTCTGCATCTTCTTCACGTGTAACATATATATCCAAACCCATCATATGTTGAAATACGTGTGTTGTTGAAAAAATTTTAATAACCTTTTCGCCCACCTTTACTCTGTGTCCTCTTTTTGCCAATCGACTGAAAATTTTAATATGTTCATCAATTTTTCGATCTAAAGGGTCGTCAGGCATCCATTTTCTTACAATATCGGTTCCTAAATATTAATATAATAATTTTATTTAAATAATTACATAAAGTATCTACTATTAATATTAATAAATGTAAAAATACAATTAATTACCATAAGTCCATTTCAAAATACGATCTACAATAATCTTTTGCGAAGATCCATATCGAACAGCACCTTTAACAACGGCAAGCATAGGATTAGAAGGAACAGAGATATTGGGAACAATATTTTTAAATTCAGCTCTGATCCTAGATACCAAATATTTTGATTCACTAAATCCTCCGACTAATAACATAGTTGTACAATGACAATTAAGAGTTTCAAGTCGACCATGAATTAACTTGATAATTTTATCGATAACGGGATCAAACATCTTTTTCACATCTTCATATTTTATAGTAATGACCCACATGGATGATTCCAATTCGTCTTTTATGGTACCTTTCACGTATTGCTTTATAACTGAACATAGGGCTAAATAAATTTTAAAGAAAATATAATGTTTAATAAAATAAGAACTAAAGATTAAGCGTAGAACAGGTAACCCAAATGATTTTCACATGACACTCAGCCTAAATTAGGGTAACGTATAATTTAGGCTGATTTGTTAATGCTAGTAAATAAGGACGTCATGTAGATCACTAAGTTAACTGTTCTTGGTATTTAAAAAGGATTAAAATTACAATACCTTCTAAATCTAATTCAAATTCGGTAAAATCATCAGGCTTTCCTGTAAACCGATGTTTGACTCTTTTACGGAATTTGTGAAGAATATTCTGCATCCGACGGTAATGAGATTCCTTTAAAATTTCGATTGTTGAATCACCAATTTTTTGACCTAAAAATTTTAGAAACTCTTTATCCACATAGCTTCCGCCACAATAATCTCCTTTACTCTCTATTTTTTCACTTAATTTGCCACCTTCTAATAACTTCATTGTAGTTATATCGACGGTACCACCTCCAGAATCTACTACCATGAAAGTATCTTGTAAATTACACAGATTCATGATTTTAGCATATAAAGAATTCCTGGTATCGCAAGTTATTTGGATTGAATATTAAAATAAATATAAATACCCCCAACGGACAAATCATACTCGTCAGTCTTAAAGCAATGAACCGCTGCAGCTTCGGCTATTGAAAACATAAATAGATTGAGTACATGAAAGAAGACTCAAATCAATTATGATACAATTGAAAATTCCATACGTTCATGTACAAATAACAAGTTAGATCCATTAGAATTATGTTTTTGTTTCGTTAAACCTGCTTCATATGCGCATTTACGCATAGTAGATATAGCATCATTATCGAATTCGACAGGAACCTAACGAATAATAATAGATCAACTTTATAATTTATATGAAAAAAAAATATATTAAATAGCTAATCATATACAGTAATTATACATACTGTCATAACTAGACGAACATTTTTAAAATAATCAAATTGTTGCCATGTATTTTTTAATCGATCTTTAAGTGATTCACCTATACAGCGTAAATAGTCTGTTATAGCTTTCTCATAATCGATTCCGGATGGGAGATAAGGCATTTTTTCCTTATCAATGTTACCCAGATATAGTTTAAATAATTCAACTGGTTTCATATTATTTTGATCTTTTGGATCTAGATTAATCAATGCGGGATAACCCCAATTTATAACTTTAAAAGACTCATCATACATAAGAACTGTCGGTTGCTTTATCATGCCATCATAGTCTGACCAATCAACACAGGTGACTATATCTAAAGGATTACTTTTTAAATGGGCATAAGCATAGCCCTATATTATTTAATATAAGTATTTGAAATATTAATGTAATTCGAAAAAAAAAAGTTATTGCACTCACCGAGTAAGTAGTACCGAAATCTTCAAATTAAAAACAATTAAAAACAATAAAAATATTATACATCAGAGTTGCGGTTTTAGATATAGAGATCTAGACAAAAATTTAAATTACCAATTGCTGCTACTACACGAATGTCGTTTGTTTCTAAATCTTCTGAACAAGATTCAATTTTTAGGGCATCAAATAGTCTTTTAAAAGGTAAACTTATGTCCATTTCTTCCATTAAGGAAGCCGCGTCT